TGGTTACCTTGTTTTCAGAGGGGGTAAGTAAGATCATGAGGCATTTGACATGGTTTCCAAATGCAGGGATTCAAAAGAAAATCCATCAATAAGAGAGGGTCTGTCTTGATAGAGTAAGTTTTGAGGTAAACACTACTTGTTTCTTTCCTTCAGTTAGTGAGCTACACCCAAAACTGTCCTGACAAGTTATCGCATTTAGAAATGCAATACATTCAGATTTCCTATTTCTTGTATCATGTGAGGAGAAGATACAAAACTTGTTCATGTTGAAGGGTCCAAAAGTATTTTCTTTAACCTCCTCAATATTCATTGATAATGCCAACAAGCAGAAGAAATGCCAGGATTACGGTTAGTGACTTGGTATTCCGTGTGGAAGATTTGAGTGCTAACCATTTATATGGCACACAAAAGTAAATTAATTGTGGCATTTCTTCACATGCTCATTCTTGAATTAGTGTGCTCAGATAACAAGTTAGAACTCTCTAATGATTAAAACTCGTAAAATAGTAACTTATAGCAAACTTTGCATCCGAAGTCCAACGATAAACAATGCCAACTCAAAGGGATAGCTCAAAACTCATCTTTGACAGTTTCTTTTAGATAGTTCTGTATAGACTTGATACTTCAGATGTCATTATAGTATTTCTCATACATTGTTATCTTAAATACAAGATGATGGAGGTTTATAATTCAAGGTATGTTCCATGGCATACTATCAACGTAAACAATTAAGCTCCAACCAAGTTGTTTATGTAGCCAATGTTTTACATCATAATGAAAAAGACAGACTCCAGCAGTGAGCCTTCTCCTAAACCCATCCACGTTTTATCAAAATGGTGCAGAAGCTGCAAGTCCCTGCTTCACCATTTGCCTCCATAATGGAAGAGAGAAAAAGAGAGAAGTGACAAGGGGGCATAATAGAGAGTTATTGCCTCCAATGTGACATACACACCCCTCGAGGAACCCTAGACTAGTCGCTTTTGTTCAATATGAAATCAGAGCAACAGGTTCATGATATCAAAGTATGAGTTTTAAGAGTTGTACAAACTTTTGGAGAGTTACTGGTGTAATTACAACGTTAGAACTTTGGAGGGATGCATGTTGTCTTAGTTATGGACAACTTAACTAGGCACCTACAGGATGAGGTACCGAGGTGCATGTTGTTAGCAGATATCATCGTTTATTGCTGAGACCCAAAACAACATCAACATAAAGTTAAAACTTTGGAAGGATACTCTAGAATCTAAGGTTTTAAGATTAGCTAGCATAAGACAAAGTATTTGGAATGCAAGTTTATTAATAATAAAGAGTAGAGACGATGAAGTAGTTAAGATTGATGGCTAGGAAATACCAAAAATATAACACTTTCAATATCTTGGGTCGATAATCCAGGAAAATGGAGTGATTGAGGAAGATGTCGCACACGAAATTAGAGTTGGGTGGGAGAAGTGGAGATGTGCAACCAGAATTTTATGTGATCGCTTCATACCAATGAAGCTGAAAGGCATGTTCTATAGGACAGCTATGAAACCAACTTTGCTCTATGGGACGGAATGTTGTGCAGTCAAAAAACAAGACATCCATAGAATAAGTGTAGCAAAGATGAAGATGTTGAGATGGGTGAGTGGCAAAACAAAAAGGGATAGAATTCGAAATGTATCCATTCAAGAAAATTTAGGTATGACATCAATAGGCGATAAGATGAGAGAGAGTAGATTTAGGTGGGCTGACCATGTATGGCACATACCCAGTACAACACCTGCTAACAAGTGCGAGTTAGTTCAAATGAAAAGCTCAAAAAGGGCAAGGGGTATGCCCAAAAGGATATGGTTGGAAGTAGTGAGAAAAGATATGAGGACTTAAGGCCTCACTGAGGGTATGGCCCTTAATAGAGCAGAATGACAGACCAAGATTCTAATAGCTGACCTCAATTAATTGGGAGAAGGCTATGATGATGATGATGATGATTTGTGCAATTACGAATAACTCCATTTTTCCTTTAAATTTGTTACCACAAAATCAGTTCAACTATTGGGCGTTGGAGATAGAAATAATGGGAGATGCCTGAAACTTGCAGTTACACAGAGGCAGCAATCACTTATTCATTAATATCTCACTGAAATCAGATTTATAATCATCAAGAACCAACTTGCCTAAGTTCCCTATTTTCTGCTGCATGCAAACAATAATATAGACAATAAAATCCTTTTTTTTTTTTTGAGTGAGAGACAATAAAATCTAAGTTTTAGAGTGAGAAATCTGCACAGTGCACTGTTGGACAGTCCGGAATCCTTCTAGGGTCTCAAGCCTACATAGAGGGATGTTCAAGGCAAAGCCAATTTGTACTTACGCTCAACGCTCCCTCTATATCCAGGGGTTAACCAAGAATGCTGAACGAGAGTTCCTAGAGCAAACCCCAACATGCAACCTTCTTAGGTCTAAATCCTTAAGCTCATAATGTGGGTTTGTCACACCACTATGTAACTTCTAGGAGGTTCCTTGTGCTTCCTTGTTAGCCCTCGATGAAAGAGACACAGGGTCCATATGGCCTCCCCTTGCTTCATGGAAGTGAAACTTGCCCAACTTAACCTGCCTCTTGTTATACTAGCAATCATTGACTCTATATCCCAATAGGATAACCAGTTCTGGACCAGCCACTTCGACAAAGACCGTTTCTTCTTTTGATGACCGAAAGCTGGAAGAAATCAAGTGCTTGTGTGCTGGGAGACTGCCTTTGATTTCACCAATAGGAGCCTTTAGTGGTCGGAGTGGCCTTATGTACAAAACTGCACTTATTTGTGCATCCAAACGGTAGGTTAAATCTCTCTCTGAGAGGTGGGAGAAGTCTCTACTGGAACAGGTATCACTGGCAGGAAGCGGAAATTCCTACCAAGACAACCTAAAAAGGATTTCATCATAGTGGGAGTAGCACTATCATTGTTTGGGTACTTATCTAGGTATCCGAATGGCACGTTAAGTTCCACAACTGGCAGTGGGAAGCTCCTTCCCATGTGAAACCAACCTGTCAAAAAGCACCCTACAGTCAGTAACCACTGCAGCAGGAGAAGAGTTATCTGAAATCGGAATGCAACCAAATGGCAAACATATACTAAGAACTCCAATCCATAAATCCCTAATTTTCTACTTGTAACTCCAATTTTGGTGAACGACCACTCATTGGAATGCTATCGACAACATCTACAAAATCAACACCATTTAAGGTGGTTTTGCCTATCAGAAAAGCAGGTCTCTAAAATCTGTAAAAGCTTTTCAGTGTCTGATTTGAAATTAAAAAAACAAACGGACCGCAATACCAAACATCTCTAGGGTGCTACCAGTCCGAACTATTCCACGATTACTCATAAACCAAGTCAAAGATGTGCTTGTTATGAATCTCAAGACTCCATTACCCGGACTTTCACCAAGGGTTGCACGAACCTTGTTTTCATCAAGGTATCTTGAGGGCCTATCCAAGGTCCCCTTCAGGCTGCACATAATAGTTAAGGTCAAATCACCGTCCTCCTGTTCTCTATACATGACAGCCTTTCCATGTTCAAAGACATGAGGATCATCAATCATGGTCCTTACCCCAGCCAAGACAAGTAATTAAGGACGGTGTCCACACTCATACTATTGGCTCGAAAATCAGTTTTCTGGAGCCACGGGCAAAAGCCCCAATCACAGGTATGTCCAGTCTGCGGGACCATGGTTATTCCTTCAAATACACCAACACCAACTGTTAATTCTTGGGGATTCCAACACCCAAAGCATTGCTAACATTATTCAATACCGCCTCCCATCCCCCCAACCCCTCCCCCCTCAAAAAAAAACAGGAAAAAAGAAAACAACAACCCACACACACACACACACACGCACACAAAGGTTTAGCTGCATTTGGAAAAACACTTCGTTACTTTTGAAGCTTGAGAGCTTAAAAGTTGGGATGGAACTCACTTTATTATACTAAATCATGTTACTCAACTAGTAAATGATTGCTCAAATAAATTAGCAATCATGGTGATAACTTAGGCATTGTTAGAAACCAACCCATTTTGCAATGTAACATACTCAAAAATAATGGTTCATGTGTGATTGATGCATTGTTGAATTAAACAATAATGGAACTTCAATGTGTGAATAAATGTCTCTCTAGAGGGCTCCTAAGCCACCTTGACCAAAAGGACACCCATACGCGACAGGACAAATTGATTCTAGAAGAAACTCATAACGAAAAAGCACGCTATGAAAATGTGAACCTCTCCACACTATGACCTTAAACACGACACTTCACATGGATCTGGAATCATCTAGCACCTCTGTAAACTCTCCTTTATCAGAATCATATAATAGCTACCAAACTCTCCCTTATCAGAATCACATGATAGCTACCAACCACAAGAAAATTACAGGGCACACAAGAGGCAAGGATTCCCATGGTTGCACAAAGGGAATACATCCTCTTTCATTTCCCAAAAATATATAATATCATGATTCATTGAGCACCAAGTAAAGTTATAATGTCAAGAACTCACATCATCAAGATCCCTAGTTCTTCCCATGTGTTTATGTTTTTATGAATTATTCGACTTTTACCTGGTCTTAAGCATTTAAGGTGCTTGTATACCCTAAAGTATCCCTTATCAAGGTTGCCACGGAAATACCATTAATATGTAACAAACAACTCATAGGAGTGGGACAATGAGCAATAGAGTAGCCATGAAAGCTTAAGAGTATAGGATCTCCTTATTAATAACTCCACTATGTAGAAAGTATTAACAGCTTCAATCTCTCCTCGTCACTACAAATTGATTGATGGATAAATTACAACATAAGTGAAGGATCAAATTCCAAAGACGCTCAGCATGGAAAAGACAGTTATACAAAAAGATAGGCCCACCACAAAAAAACCACAAGCACAGCAAAAAAAGTAGTGTTACACGATCGGTACCTTAGAATAGCAGAATGCAGGAAATGAGGTATGATCTGAGAGAGTGACATACCCAGTTCTAGTGAGATAGCAGGGTACCCCTTTGATATCCAACATTCGGAAGTCACCGAAGTACATTTTGCTCAGATCATCCTTGACAAACATCTGAAGAACAGGAGCTGCAAGTGGACCCTGCATCCCACATGTTTAAAGAGCCATGAGACCTCAAATTTGGGGGGCAGAGAGAGAGAGAGAGAGAGAGAGAGAGAGAGAGAGAGAGAGAGAGAGAGAGAGAG